TAGTATATACCTCATCCTACTCTAACTAAAGTATTAGTTATTACTTATTATATATATATATATATATATATATATATATATATATTAAAACTTGTGTCATTCATATGCATTCAGATATATATTATCTCGTTGATGCGGATTATGCGAACACACGAAACTTCATAGCTCCATTTAGGGGTGTGAGGTATCATTTGAAGGCTTATGGTTGGGGAATTTTAGCCCCACAAAATGCGAAGGAGCTCTTCAATCTTCGGCATTCATCTCTTTGGAATGTTATTGAACGTGTATTTAGTGTGTTGAAGAAAAGATTCCCTCTCTTGAAAGTGGCAACACCATATCCTTATGAAACACAAGTTAAGATAGTCGTTGCTGCTTGTACTGTACATAATCATATCCAAACTATAACAGGTGGTGATGATTGGCTCTATGAGGAGTACGATAGGGATCTTGCATGTGGATCAGTTGAAAGAACAAATATTGAATATAATGATGTAAACCCTCAGGCTGATAAAAATGATGACAATGAATTGCGAGATCGTATTGCTAAAGTACTTTGGGATGGATATTGTGCTCACTGTTGAGCATAATATGGCACACCGATATAATTGGTTGTAAACATGCTTTCCATTATTCTCTTTCGTGGCAAAATTTTCAATACTTTGGATTATAATATTAAGAAGCATGGGATCTAGATCAAATGGTCAGTGGCTTACTTGATTTAAATTGAATGATTGGATGAGAGGAAGTATATATTTTCTATGTAGTAGGGGAAGTAAAGAAACTTTTCCCATATAGGGAAGTATATCCAACATTCAAGAAATTTTATTTTAAGACTTTGTTCTTAAGTAACCATCCATCCTCAATTACCTAATTTTAAAATCCAACCATCAATATTGCTTGTTACCTCCTTATTGTAACTCCGTTGTATAAAAAATATATGGTATGAGGAAAAGAGCTCGGGCCTAACTGGTTAGCACTTGACGGTTCACAATGCTAGGCTCAATTCCTACAAAGGGTAGGGACCCTCTCCCCCATTGACTCAACAAAAAATAAATAAAAATAAAAATAAAGTAAGCGATTATATATAATGAGACCACTTACCTTTGGTACAGGGAGGTCACAATTACTTATAACCATCCAATGTGAAATTTGATAGCTTGGGTGTGTCACGAAGCTTGAGAATTTTTTTTTAAACTTTAAGCTTGGTCAACGAAATAAATACAACTACCCAATTTCACATCCAATGGTCAAGATTAATTGTGACCATCTTGTACCCATAAAGTAAAAGGTACAGTTGGCATACGGATGCATTCGTAGCCATAGAGGTAAGGTGCAGCTTCCAATTTTATCATGATATAATTTTGATATAAAATGTTCTTATGATTATTTCAAAAATCTATTTTGATATCTAATTATAAAATTTTAAATTTAAAAAATAATTAAAATCAAATAGATCTATAAATATATGAAAATATTAAAAATAGATAGTGTAAATAATATGTTGGAAGATGTTAAAACTTAAAATCTTTTTATTTTTCATGGTCAAACATCTCGAGATGTCGAGATGATTTTCAACATTAAAACTACCATTTCCGTTTTTTTGAGGGGCATCCGTAGTTCTACGTTATAAGGTTGCATCCTTCTATAAACTTTTTCCTAAAGTAAATGGTCTCGTTCTATCGCTGTGTGACTCGCAAGTCATTGTTTTTCGTTTTGATTCGGAGTGGTTGATGAGGGCGGTGCAGAGAAGCTGTAGCGGGAGCATCCTGGTCCGAAGGTAAAAAAACCTCTGTTACTAGCAAAAAGGCTCCGCTCCACCTGTGGCCAACTCTCTAGCCGAGGGTTTTGAGAAGAGGAGAGAAGAGAGAGTGTCGACAATGGCCGCATACCCTCCTCCTCAGCCCCTCCACAACTCCACCCATCCCCTCTATCCGTACCCTCCCCTTCCCACTCCCCCTCCTCCTCCCCTTCCCCCTCAACCTCACTTTCAACACCCTCAGCCTCAACCTCCTCTTCTTCCCTCTCATCATCATCTCGTGGCGATGCAACAACATCAGCCTCTCCCTTTCCATCTGCAATCTTCTTCAGTTGATGAGGTTCGCACCCTATTCATTGCCGGCCTTCCTGGTGATGTCAAGCTCCGTGAGATTCACAACCTCTTCCGCGATTTCCCTGGCTTCCAGTCATGCCAGTTGAAGAGCTCTGGTAACTCCAACCAGGTAATTCTAATGCCTCCCTCTCTTGCAATATTTCTTCTCTTTTTTTTTTTTTGGCGTGGTTTTATGTAGTTTCCATCTATGATACCTAGTTTCATGCTGAGTTTCCATCTATAATGTCTATATTTCGTGCTGAATTCAATTTGAGACTTGTGTGGAAATTTCCTGAATTTTATTCAAGGTTGGATTTCATTGGTATTTGGCACTCTCGCTATTGTCAATGCTAATGATAGATATGGTTGCTTTAGTATTGTGCAGCTGTGAAAAAAAATATGAAGTTTTTAGTTGGTAGGCTCTGAAATCTATGTTGGAGTTGTTCATTCTTGATGCCTTTCCTATCCTTTTGTCTTCATGGACATTGGAGGATTGAAATTCTGCTTTCCTTACCTGCAAGCACAGACCATGGCTGTGGTGGTGCTGCTACCTTTCCCATTACTTTAAATTTGGATATTAAGTAGGTCCCTCGGAAAGTTGCATAAATGAGAATTGGCTTTTGCTTTATTCTATCAACATGTTCCCCTCATTATCCTACTCATATTGACCATCAAAGTACGGTATTTTGACTTGACTTGACCATCACATTGAATGTACATTATTGTTTCCACTTGCTATGAAGATTCAGCAGAATCACTTGAATGGAAATTTCTTTTCATATCTATATATGTAACATCTTACAGAAAGAACAATCCTATGATAGATTTTGTCTTGTAAGTTTTGGTAAATGCACGTATATGTGTGTTGCAATATAACTATGTATGTGTATATATGCATTTTTTTGTAATGAAATTAAAGCTCATATTCCTAAAGCCCAACACCTGTTGGACTCCTCAATTTGCCCATTACTAGAGGTCCCTGATAATCAACTTCTAATGCATATTTGCATATACGCAACCAACTTGTAGAGATAGTTCTTGATGCTTGTCTTGCTTACATGGTTGAGCTCTAGATCTTCTATCTCAATTGCACCACTCCAGGTTCTAAAATACAATAAAAAGGAAAAAAAAAATTGCAAGATTCTTACTTCATCTTATTCTTCATTATGCAGGCATTTGCATTTGCTGTCTTCTCAGATCAACAGTCTGCCGTCTCTGCCATGCATACTTTGAATGTAAGAATGTTACTCAAATACATGTCATATCCCAGTATTGGATGATAGTGGCTCGTAAGTTTTAACGAATCATAATCTTGGTTATTGTTTCTATGAATGTTTCAAAACCCCAATCAGGTGGCTGATTCGGTCACTGGTTGAACTAATTTGGATTGCCATTCCAGGAAGTATCGGATTGATTTCCCAGTGTGGGAAAAGGTCAAAAGAACAGAAATTGAGGAAAAAATGATTTTAAAACTGGTTTAGTCATTTTAAAATGATGTTAAATCTAATCAATGTTTTGAAACTCGGCTCGGGCCTTGGACTCAACCCTAGCTCAAGCGTAGTTACTCAGGCGAGTCCACTTGGACTTACCGAGTCGTTTACATTCTTAAAAAAAAGGCTATAAATTTGAAAAAGAAAACCAAACAAATTATTAAAACAAAAAACAGAAAAAACACTAAAGGTCCAAAAATGATGAGACAAAGTTTAAGGTGGAATTATGTATAGCTGGAAATAATTTAGAAATTTCCACAAAGGGGAAATATGAAAACAGAGCAAATGACAAAAAAAGTCCATAAAGCATTATTAAAAATCATCAAAACAATATAGGATCATGTTTATATGTTGATTTACTAAAGAAATATAACTTTCATTGTTGGAAATGGGAGGGTGAAAGGGGCAAAATAAAAAAGAAAAGATATTGCAATCTTTCTGACCCTAGGCACAATGTAGCGCTTTCTCAGGACAACATCTACCCCCTTACTGATATCTTTGCGCTTGGGGCAATGACGCAACTAGTGAGGTAAAACCGAGGCACGTCAATTGTTGGTCGAAAACTATTTCCAAACATTTACCCCTTACTGATAAGTAGTGTTCGAAAATTCGGCTGCCCAACTGTCTTGGCGGCCAATTGCCTAAAAGGCCTAGGAGGAACCTAGGCGGGGCACCTAGGAGCTGCCTCGATGCAGGTTGCTGAGGGTGGAAAAATGCCTTCGGCTATGGTCCAAATAGTAATCCCCCCCCTCCCCAAAAAGCGGGAAAATGGGTTTTGGGGGACATTCTAAACCCCCAAAACCTAATCCGTGCCGGCTAGAGTTTTTGTGACTCCCCAAAAACATCTATTTTGTGATTTGTCGAAAGATCAATAAATTTTCAATTTTTCGATTTCTTTCACAATCAAAGGCCACTCTTTGTGGTAGTTTTTGGAGCTTTTAGTGGTCAATAGTGAGGACTTTTGGGGATCGAATAGACGAGGTTTGGGCCAACATCGTTTCCATTTTGATATTTTTAGAGCATTATGCCATTATGATATTTGAATAAGGATTTTGATTTTTTTTTGCTATAACGTATTATGTTTTGAGCCATTTATTTTTATTTTTTAACTTTTTTTTAATGGTATATTTACATGTTTGTAGTTGAAAGTTTGATTTTTTTATTTTTTTATTTTTTTGTGATTAATTGATTATTAACTCATTTAGACGATGAAATTGTTCCTATATCAAATTCTTTTATGAATAATTGGTTCTTATTTTGTACAATGTGTGATGTTTTGATACCTATTAGTTTTGTTTTGCTTTTTTGATATTTACATATCTGTAGATGAAACATTTACCTATTTGGACTTATATTTTGTGAATAGTCATAAACTTTGGATGAAATTGATGTTTTGTGAATATTTGATATCCAAAACCAAATCTTATGTATATTAATTAGTAAATAATAATTACATGATAACTTATATCTTAACTCTTATGTGAATAGTCCCTACTTGTCCCTGTTCTTGGGCCCCCGCCTAGGCGACCAGGCCCCCAAAACGCCTAGCGCCAGCTCGTGTTTTCTTGAACACTGCTGATAAGAATCAGTGTGCATATAAGTTTCTACTAGGAAAATTTGTTCTCGGGATACATGGGAGCAGAGGAAATTGAAAACTCTCTCGCCATTACAAATGCACATGTACTGCGAGATCAAGAGCACTAGAGTTGCCTCTTTTTAGAGAGAAAATTATGACAAAAACACTTTGGAAAGAACAAAACTTCATATGTTAAATTTATGCACAAACCAGAGGAGACATGTCTCTATTCGTAGAGAGATAAAGTGCTTTTTCACTACTCCACATTACTAAATAAGTCAAGAATTGTGCCTCTTGAAGTCTCAATTGTTAGTGTGGTGCATATATTGTGACTTGACATCCAACAGTCACGCGGTAATTTTTTAGGTTTCGTGAAAGCAGCTGTCCCTCTTTTTACTTGTGATTCAAAAGTCACGTGATGTCTCTTCAGGTTCTGGAAAACTAATCGACACGCTTTTCTACCGGCGGGGCACAAATCACTAGAACACACCAAACCACCGGAGTGCACACTTCATATGCGCGCATAGGGCATATTTCAACGGAGTGCACCTAACCACTGGAGCCAAATTACCGGAATGCCCTTGATCACCAATCCACTAGACAGCTCAATCTAGTGCAAAGTGCGCCAACTAGTGCCCTTGCACCCATGCCCTCACGCACATGCTCCATTTGGTTATTAGAACATAAGTGAAGAGGATATCCATATATTTAAGGAATGTTTTTCTCATCCACATCTTCAACATGGGATAAATAACCCATTATTTTTTTCTCTACCAATTAGGCAAAACACCCTTAACAATAGATTATACTTTCCAAAACACTATGAAACAAAAGAGGTATTATTTTGAAATAACACTGAGTATTTTCTAAAGAAAAATATAAAATTTATGAATATGTTTTTATTTTTGGTTTTTTTTACTTTATCGAGTTTGTATACTACTACTCAGCTCGGCAAGGCGTTGAGTCCTAGTTACTCGGCCGAGTCCCTTAACACTGAATCTGATTTAATCATTTTGAAATGATGTTAAATTTGTTCAATATGGTTTAAACGATTTAAAATATTTTGTTTTAAGTCATTTAAACCAGATTTACGTGGTTTTAATATATATTTAAAATCATTTATTTTAAATATCGTTTAGAAGTTTCAAAAAATAAATCTATTGTAAACATGGTTAAAAACTTAAATGATAGAAAACTAAGAAGAGGTTTTAAAATTCAAAATACGATTTAAACTAGATTTAGATCACTTGTTCAAAATAAATCTAGAGAAACAAATCAATTGTTTAAACTCTAAAATAGATTTTGGAAAACAATTTAAACTTGTTCAAAATAGATTGCAGAAAACAAACAATTTAAATCAGATTAGGCGGATTTAAATCTGATTTGACATTATTTAAATGTGAATTTAAACAAATGATTTAGAAGATTTTAAATTACACTTAAGCATATCAGGGCTGAAAAAAATGGAGAAAACCCTAAATTCAGCTTCTCTAATAAACCCTCAAATATTGGGCACTTGATTTCTAAGAAAAGTGGGTTCGATTCGAAAAAAATTATGTAGATCTTGTGGAGGGCTCAAATACGATGATTGTGGGACAAATATCAGGAAAAAAAGGTGAAGAAATGATTAAAAACACCAAACAATAACAGAAAAAGGGAAAAACTATTGCTAGAAAGAGGTTTTAGGGTTGGATCATGCCGATATCTGATTCTGTAAGGGAATCAGCACGGTTAGTGACCATATCTGATCTGGATTGGCGATTCCTGATCCTGATCAATGAGTTTTAAAACACAGGTTTGGACTAATTTTTTTTTTTTTTTCTTACTTCCTTATTCTTTTAGTTTTTTTAGTAAAGGTAACAAGAATTTCCGTTTTAGCAAGTCTACGAATTATTCATAACAAGTAAAAACAAACATAGATACAAAGATGCAAGTGCTTATGAGTACATGCCTTAAGCTTGGTGTAGGTATGATGGTGCTATAGTTGTTCAGATCATTGAAATGAACTTATATCAATCTTGATTGTTTGTTGCCTTATGCTCCATAAATGTTATTGATCATGCACAGGGACTAGAGTTTGACCTTGAGTTTGAATCAACTCTTCACATTGATCTTGCGAAGTCCAACTCTAGGACAAAGAGATCACGAACAGGTATGCATGGACGGCTTGGATTCCTAGTTTGCACCATATTGTTGATTATTTTTTTCTTCTTTTTTTGGCAGTGAATTTCCCTCTACTTTCCTTTCATTTGATTAGCTTATTTGGGTTTTTGCAATACTGTATACGCATCAGACTGTTTTGGTTCTATGGTTGTTCTTGTTTATTTCCTACTTTGAAAAAAGAAATGCTCGACTTTGGTAATCTGCCAAAGTTTCATTGCTCATAGTTTAGGCCAAAGTAGATACTGTCCATGACTCTTGGAATGTAGCTAAAGCTCTCAGTTTTATCAGATAATGATGGGTCTGGTTCTTTCGATAAAAAAGTACGAGGATTTGCCACAGGATTGAGAGGCCCTCTGGATTCTGGTAAGTAATGTACTCCTAATTATGACTAATATTTGTTTTAATGTCTGGCTTAAACTTAACATCCAGACCAATGCTACAGCACTCTCTGTTTTGCAAAAGTTTCAGCAGTAAGTGAAATAGTATGCCTTACCATGTACATTTTCCTATTCATTTCTTGCTCTGGCCTTTGGAGCGAACTTCACCACTGCAGAGTTTGTGCATGTGGTTTGTTATTTTCTTCTTATTTTCAGTGGTTTTTAGCTACCTCATGATCATCGATGGAAATTCTTTCAATTTGATAATTAGTGAAGACATAAAGGACCACATCAACATCACATTCCTTAACAGCTCATTTTGCACATGTTTGTCCCAATCGCACACTAACAGGGCTTGGCAGCAATACGCTCTACAACGGCATGAATGGGTACTCTTCCACTCAGAGGTCAAAGCATGCTTCTTAAAATGCAATCCCTAAATTTTCCTGACACTTCAAGCTTACATTTCACAATTTTCTTTCTTGTCTTCGAATTATTCTGCAGAGAGGGATTTGGCTTGTTAGATACAACTCATATTTGATGATTTCTAGACTTCAGTAGATAAATGTTGCATATTTTCTACTTTGGATGTTTCAGTCTATTGATTGGTCATGCCTGATGTTTTCAGCCACGGGAACTTGGATGGCCTTGGTATCCATGACTTGAACTCTGGAATATCATTGGTGAGTTTTATGTGAATATTTTGGCTAGACTTGATGGTTATTTTTCATTATTGTTGATGCTATATGTCTTTGGTTATGCTCAATACTGAGTGATCATCGATTTGAAAGATTTTTTCACACAAAGCCTTGATGAAGCTATATGCATCTGTTCCCAATTAATGTTCTGCATTGAACATACATTCTCCTGCGATAATTGTTTCTTCCTGAGGGAAAATCAATCTAAGTAGTTGTTTTATCTGTGGAAGTTTGTTCATGCATTTTGTGGTGCCAACACTCGTAATATCTTGAATCCCAAATGCTGAGAAGGCTTCCAAGATGCACTAGTGTCACATCCAGGCAGTTAAGATGGACTGAACTGACTGTTATGTTCTTCCTTGTGATCCTTTTTTGCACCATTTCTTTCTACTGTAATAGGTTTCTACTTTGAACACACTTTGGTTTTCTTCAAATCTTTTCTGCTTATGTATTTCTCATAAAATAAGTAGACTTGCTTTCTCCCTGGGATAAGCCTTGACTGAAAGCTGCTAGTCAGTAACCCTCCCAACTAGACCACCAACTGCAACCTTATCCCTATAGGTATAGTTGCTGCTCTTACGATGGATCACACCCCCCCCGACCCAGCTTTGATTTCGAACCTGCTCGCTCCCCACCTCTCTTTTACCCCTCACCTTGTACACATTCGCAGTGTTCGCATTCTGCATGTTGCCTGGCCCCCCTCTTCCCCATTCCTGTACTCCACCTACTCCTCGATTCAGACGCACCACGTTCTCACTTTCATCCCCTCCCTGTCTTTTGCTTACCCACCCCCCCCCCCCCCCCAACCTCCCTTCCTCCCTCTTGAAACCCCTCTTAGCTACTTTCCCTATGACCCAACCCCTACTTTTGACCCGAACCCCAACATCTTAACCTTTTGCCCCCTGCGTCTTCCCCCCCTACACTGGATACTCCTCCAGATACTGCCCCTCCCCTTCCTTTCCTCCCCCTTGACCTCTACCCCACCAACAACCCCCCCCCCCCTCCCCCCCCCCTACTTGGCAGATTATGTTACAGAGTGACCCAAGACTCCAACCTTGGCTAAACCCTTGTCTGAGCCCCCAGAGATAGCTTCGGAACCCATCTCTCCCTCCTAGGTTGGCGACGATACAACGGAGGTCGACAGGGATGGGACTAATAGGCAAGAAGATAGAATGAGAGAGATGTACAGATTGATGGGATTCGAATATGACAGACCTGAATGATTGGCTCACAAATTCTTTACGGCGGACGCACAAAGCAGGATGCAGGTGAGATTCAGAGGTCAGAAAGAGCTATGCAACCTCTTTTCCTCCCTAAACTTTGTAGGTAATTCTGTAGAGAGTCGACCCTCTCCTCTCACCACGGACTGCCCAAGGAGGTCTCCCAGATTGGCTTCTTCCTTCTCACTCATTCCCAAAAAATGAAGCTGCTTGTTTGGAATGTTAGAGGACTAGGACAGTCCTCAAAAAAGGATGTTGTCAAGGACCTTACCTCCAGACTCTCCCCTACGATTCTAGCCCTCCTTGAAACCAAACTACCAGAGCTTAACCTCCGTCTCATTTGCCGGGTTTGGTGTAGAAGACCTTGCTAATGGGTATCTTTACCTGCAAATGGGGCATCAGAAGGTATTTGGGTGATATGGACCCTTCTAACCATACTCTGAACTCCACCTTTATAGGCGAGTTTTTAGTTACTCTACTCCTTTCTAGCACATCAGATGGGATCCCATGGAAATTTTCGGCTGTTTTTGGTCCAAAATTCCTCCACCCTCAAAATTGGATAACGTTGCGTCCCTACCACACCCCATCTGGTGTCTAGGAGGTGACTTTAACGTCATCCGCTGGTCTTACAAGAGAAATTCCTCTACTACTATCTCTTGGGATATGAGGGAAATCTCTGATTTTATCAGTCGAAATGAACAACTTGATTTCCCCCTCCAAGGCTGTAGATTTGGTCCAACCATGCTTCTCAACCCATCTGCTCAAAATTAGACAGATTCCTCCTCTCTTTGAACTGGGAGGAACACTATCTTGGATCCTCTTCTTTGGCCCTTCCTAAGCCCACGTCAGACCACCGTCCCATTTTGCTTGATTCTAATGCAGTTAAGAGGGGCCCCAAACCCTTCAGATTTGAACTACACTGGCTTCAAGAGGAGTCTTTACATACCCTCGTCCAAACCTGGTGGAACTCCTTTTCCCCAAAGGTCACTGGCAGAGCAGGATACATTCTTCAGACTAAAATCCAACTCCTCAAATCCTCTCTCAAAACCTGGAGTCGGTCCATGCATAGGAACTTCTCTCAGATCAAGTCTTCACTTTTAGAGAACATCAATAAGATTGATCTTCTTGAGGAATTCAGAGCTCTCGATGCCTCAGAGCTGGACTTCAGGTCCAAGTCAAAACAAGACTACCTGTCCTGCCTTAAAAAAGAAGAGATCTATTGGTTCTAGAGGTCCAGAATTACCTGGTTGAAAGCAGGAGACCAAACCACCGCCTTTTTTCATCGGATAGCTAATTGTCGTAGGAGAGACAATACAATCTTGATAATCAAAGTAAACAACGACTACCTCTCTCAACCAGAAGACATTGAGCAGGCTATTATAGAGTTCTTCCAGACTCTATACACTGCTCAACCCCGGCCCAGACCAAGGATGTCATCACTTGACTTCTTGACCCTCACAGAAGATCAAGTTGTTTGGCTAGAGAGACCCTTTCAGAAGAAGAAATTAAACAAGCTATCAATACTCTAGCCAAAGATAAGGCCCCTAGCCTCGACGGCTTCCCAATTGCTCCTTTTAAGGCCTACTGGGATACCTTCCATCCGGATTTCGTCAAATTCTTTGAGGAATTCTTCTTACGGGGTACACTTCACAAAGCCTTGAACGCCACCTTCCTTGCACTCGTCCCCAAAGTAGAAGGGGCTGAGGAAATCAAAGACTTCCGGCCTATCAGTCTTCTCAATTCCTCTTACAAGATTTTGGCAAAAGTTCTCGCTTCTAGGCTACAATCTGTCCTCCCTTCCATCATTTCATCGTCACAATCCCCCTTCATCAAAGATAGGCAGATTCTTGACGGGGCTCTGGTGGCCCACGAGTGCATCCACTCGAGGCACCTAGAGAAAAAACCAGGGCTTATCTTCAAAATAGATTGGGAAAAAGCCTATGACCATGTCGACTGGTTAATCCTGGAAGAGTCAATGGCCAGAATGGGGTTTCGGGGACACATGGAGGAAGTGGATGAGAGGCTGTCACTCTCACCTACATTTCTCCATTCTTATAAACGGAGCCCCAAAAGGACTTTCCGTCCTCTAGGGGAATTCGCCAAGGTGACCCCCTCTCCCCCTTCCTGTTTGCTATAGCGGCGGAAGTCTTTAGTCACTCTATTTCCCGGTTATATCAGGCAAGAATCTTTTTGGATTCAGGAGCAACAGACAAGGCCCAACGGTGTCTTATTTGTAATATGTAGATGGCACTTTGGTGTTCTTAAACACGTCCAATGAAGTGGACACCCTAAAACTTTTCCTGAGTTGCTTCCAAACAGTAACTAGGTTCAAAGTCAATATGGACAAATAAAAAATGCTGAGTGTAGCAATTACAAAAGCAGAAGTTAGATCATTGATTCCGAATTGGGAGTGTAAAGTGGAGGATCTCCCAACTACCTATCTAGGCCTTCCCTTGGGTATGGGGAAACCCAAAAAGAGGCAATGGTTTCATGTCTTAGATAAGGTAGACAGACATCTGGCAGGGTGGAAAGGCAGATACCTCTCAATGGCCAGTAGATCGACTTTGATTAAAGCTACTTTAGCAAACTCCCCGGTGTTCCTCATGTCCCTCTTCCATTTGCCAGCCCAAGTGGCTAACCGCCTGGACCAACTCATGGGGAACTTCCTTTGGTCGGGACAGGCTGACAAGAAGAAGTTTCATCTTATAGCATGGGACAATATCTGCCTACCCAAACATTAGGGAGGTCTAGGAATCAGAGTTCTTCAGAAGCATAACTTGGCACTTCTAGGAAAATGGTGGTGGCGTCTAGCCACCCAGCCCAATACTCTGTGGGCTCAGGTACTTAGGAAAAAGTATAAAATCCCAGAAGGACCTGACTGCTAGATAAAAGCCAGTCGCGTAACGCCTCCGGAGCTTGGAAATCCTTTTCCTTGGTCTTTACTCTGTTCAAAAGGTCTGTAAGGTTCCATCCTAGGGAAGGTTCTAGGGTGAGATTCTGGTCAGACCTATGGTTGGGAAACTCCACTCTGCGTGAGGTATTCCCTACTCTCTATTCGCTTGCACTAAACAAAGAATCTACAGTTGCCGAGGAAATGATCTTGTCTGGAGGCCGTAGAGTTTGGAATCCATCACTCTGAAGGGACCTGACAGAAGCGGAAACCAGTCAATTCATGTTGCTCTCCTCAACCCTGTACTCTCTTTTCATCTCTCCTTGTGGCAATGATGCAATAGTTTGAACCAATGGTTTAAAAACCGGATCGGTGACCCGGATCGGGCTTTTCAAAAACCGATCCGGATCGGCGAATCGGCGATCCGGATCGGAATCGGGTGAATCGGTCAGAATAATGCTTCAAAAAAATCCGAAAAAATTATTAAAATTCATTATAAATATTGGTTTTTAGGAATTCAATAAAAAATGAGGGTACTCCATTAAGAATTTTCATGTTTTTGAATGAATATGCGAATATTGATATGTTCTTTCCCTGCATGAACCGCCATTCAGCATTTAATTGACAGTATTTCGTGCTCATCCCTACACTGTTGCTGTTGGGACTCGATATGTGAATAATATGGCTGGGATAGGGTGGCCTCAGAATCATCATCTCTCTCATTTTCTCTTTGAATAATATGGAATTAAAAAAAAAAAAACAATTTTCAAAAAAATCTATCATGGATTAAAAAAAAAATCACAAATTTTCAAAAAATTCTATCATGGATTACAAAAAAAAATTCGATCATGGATTAAACAAAAAAAATCACAAGT